ATCTCTCAGAGCTTGAGCACGTCCTTTCTCTGTGGCAAGAAGAGCCTTCACAACTTGACCTCGATTGAGATTTATACGCCACAAACCTTTGTAGGCTTCTTGGTGCTGATTACGATAACAAATCTTCCACTGATCGTTGAGTTGAAGACTGGCCCTGATATCATCATACAATTCTACACTCGAGTAATAAAAGTCAAAGGCCATCATAAGATTTCCTTGACAATCAAAACTGATTCCAAGGGAACAGAGTGAGCACGCCTCTCCAGTCTTACTTCCCACTTCTTTGGATATTTCTAGGTGACGTTGAAAACACTCAATAGCTTTTTTGAACTCTCTTTGACCTTGATGAATTCTGCCGAGAAGGCAATAACTATTTCCCTCCCCAGCCTTGTCTCCCACTTCTTTAGCAATTTCTAGATAACGTTGATGGTACTGGATGGCTGTTTTGAACTGTCCTAGACCTCGATAAGCGTTGCCGAGATTGCCATAACTCATTCCCTCTCCGGCCTTGTCTCCTACTTCTTTAGCAATTTCTAGATGACGTTGATGGTACTCAATTGCTGTTTTGAACTTTCCTAGACTTTCATAAGCGTTGCCGAGATTGCCATAACTTCCTCCCTCTCCGGCCTTGTCTCCTACTTCTTTAGCAATTTCTAGATGACGTTGATGGTACTGGATGGCTGTTTTGAACTGTCCTAGACCTTGATAAACGTTGCCGAGACCGCTATAACTTCTTCCCTCTCCGGCCTTGTCTCCCACTTCTTTAGCAATTTCTAGATGACGTTGATGGTACTGGATGGCTGTTTTGAACTGTCCTAGACCTTGATAAGCGTTGCCGAGATTGCCATAACTTCTTCCCTCTCCGGCCTTGTCTCCCACTTCTTTAGCAATTTCTAGATGACGTTGATGGTACTGGATGGCTGTTTTGAACTGTCCTAGACCTTGATAAGCGTTGCCGAGATTGCCATAACTCATTCCCTCTCCGGCCTTGTCTCCCACTTCTTTAGCAATTTCTAGATCACGTTGATGGTACTGGATGGCTGTTTTGAACTGTCCTAGACCTCGATAAGCGTTGCCGAGATTGCCATAACTCATTCCCTCTCCGGCCTTGTCTCCCACTTCTTTAGCAATTTCTAGATGACGTTGATGGTACTGGATGGCTGTTTTGAACTGTCCTAGACCTTGATAAGCGTTGCCGAGATTGCCATAACTCATTCCCTCTCCGGCCTTGTCTCCCACTTCTTTAGCAATTTCTAGATGACGTTGATGGTACTGGATGGCTGTTTTGAACTGTCCTAGACCTCGATAAGCGTTGCCGAGACCGCTATAACATTCATTCCCTCTCCGGCCTTGTCTCCCACTTCTTTAGCAATTTCTAGATGACGTTGATGGTACTGGATGGCTGTTTTGAACTGTCCTAGACCTCGATAAGCGTTGCCGAGATTGCCATAACTTATTCCCTCTCCGGCCTTGTCTCCCACTTCTTTAGCAATTTCTAGATGACGTTGATGGTACTGGATGGCTGTTTTGAACTGTCCTAGACCTTGATAAGCGTTGCCGAGACCGCTATAACTTCTTCCCTCTCCGGCCTTGTCTCCCACTTCTTTAGCAATTTCTAGATGACGTTGATGGTACTGGATGGCTGTTTTGAACTGTCCTAGACTGTCATAAGCGTTGCCGAGACCGCTATAACTTCTTCCCTCTCCGGCCTTGTCTCCCACTTCTTTAGCAATTTCTAGTTGACGCTGATGGTACTTGATAGCTGTTTTGAACTGTCCTAGACCTCGATAAGCGTTGCCGAGATTGCCATAACTCATTCCCTCTCCGGCCTTGTCTCCCACTTCTTTAGCAATTTCTAGATGACGTTGATGGTACTGGATGGCTGTTTTGAACTGTCCTAGACCTCGATAAGCGTTGCCGAGATTGCCATAACTCATTCCCTCTCCGGCCTTGTCTCCCACTTCTTTAGCAATTTCTAGATGACGTTGATGGTACTGGATGGCTGTTTTGAACTGTCCTAGACTGTCATAAGCGTTGCCGAGATTGCCATAACTCATTCCCTCTCCGGCCTTGTCTCCCACTTCTTTAGCAATTTCTAGATGACGTTGATGGTACTGGATGGCTGTTTTGAACTGTCCTAGACCTCGATAAGCGTTGCCGAGATTGCCATAACTCATTCCCTCTCCGGCCTTGTCTCCCACTTCTTTAGCAATTTCTAGATGACGTTGATGGTACTGGATGGCTGTTTTGAACTGTCCTAGACCTCGATAAGCGTTGCCGAGATTGCCATAACTCATTCCCTCTCCGGCCTTGTCTCCCACTTCTTTAGCAATTTCTAGATGACGTTGATGGTACTGGATGGCTGTTTTGAACTGTCCTAGACCTTGATAAGCGTTGCCGAGATTGCCATAACTCATTCCCTCTCCGGCCTTGTCTCCTACTTCTTTAGCAATTTCTAGATGACGTTGATGGTACTGGATGGCTGTTTTGAACTGTCCTAGACCTCGATAAGCGTTGCCGAGACCGCTATAACTTCTTCCCTCTCCGGCCTTGTCTCCCACTTCTTTAGCAATTTCTAGATGACGTTGATGGTACTGGATGGCTGTTTTGAACTGTCCTAGACCTCGATAAGCGTTGCCGAGATTGCCATAACTCATTCCCTCTCCGGCCTTGTCTCCCACTTCTTTAGCAATTTCTAGATGACGTTGATGGTACTGGATGGCTGTTTTGAACTGTCCTAGACTGTCATAAGCGTTGCCGAGACCGCTATAACTTCTTCCCTCTCCGGCCTTGTCTCCCACTTCTTTAGCAATTTCTAGTTGACGCTGATGGTACTTGATAGCTGTTTTGAACTGTCCTAGACCTCGATAAGCGTTGCCGAGATTGCCATAACTCATTCCCTCTCCGGCCTTGTCTCCCACTTCTTTAGCAATTTCTAGATGACGTTGATGGTACTGGATGGCTGTTTTGAACTGTCCTAGACCTTGATAAGCGTTGCCGAGATTGCCATAACTCATTCCCTCTCCGGCCTTGTCTCCCACTTCTTTAGCAATTTCTAGATGACGTTGATGGTACTGGATGGCTGTTTTGAACTGTCCTAGACTGTCATAAGCGTTGCCGAGATTGCCATAACTCATTCCCTCTCCGGCCTTGTCTCCCACTTCTTTAGCAATTTCTAGATGACGTTGATGGTACTGGATGGCTGTTTTGAACTGTCCTAGACCTCGATAAGCGTTGCCGAGATTTATAACTTCTTCCCTCTCCGGCCTTGTCTCCCACTTCTTTAGCAATTTCTAGATGACGTTGATGGTACTGGATGGCTGTTTTGAACTGTCCTAGACCTTGATAAGCGTTGCCGAGATTGCCATAAGTCATTCCCTCTCCGGCCTTGTCTCCCACTTCTTTAGCAATTTCTAGATGACGTTGATGGTACTGGATGGCTGTTTTGAACTGTCCTAGACCTTGATAAGCGTTGCCGAGATTGCCATAACTCATTCCCTCTCCGGCCTTGTCTCCTACTTCTTTAGCAATTTCTAGATGACGTTGATGGTACTGGATGGCTGTTTTGAACTGTCCTAGACTGTCATAAGCGTTGCCGAGACCGCTATAACTTCTTCCCTCTCCGGCCTTGTCTCCCACTTCTTTAGCAATTTCTAGTTGACGCTGATGGTACTTGATAGCTGTTTTAAACTTTCCTTGTCCTTGATAAGGATTGCTGAGATTGGAAAAACTGTTTGCTATGGCTGTTAGTTCAGCATTACTTTTCCTTAATAATTGAAGCAGACGTTTGTTGTCATTTTCAATCTTAAAACGTGTCAAGGGTCGATAAATAATGAGCAGATTTGCGAAAATATTAGATAGAACCTTTAAACTGGAATGATAATTCGAACGTGGGATTTTGTAGAAATTTGATTTCAAGTTATTGGAGAGTTTTTAACTAGCTCTGAAGCGCATTTATTGGTTTAGGTTCGGTCGTCATGGTGATGCTCGTCTGAAGACAAAAATGAGCCTCTTCTTTCAAGTAAAGTTTCGTGGAATAGTCGAAAGAACTCTTTAAGAATATTTTAGCTTCTTTAAACTGCTCGGTACACTATAAGAGAACATTGCTTGCATTATATGTTGAAGAATCTCTCCGGAACGTATTGATTTCCCTTGAAATATTACTCGCATTGAAACATTCGTTAAAGGATACGGCCAATCCCATATGCAACCAGTTCCTTGCTTCTTTATACAAGCAAAGTTCGACACAAGCTCTGGCTCCTGAAAAGGAGAGAATAATTGGCGGTACGAAGTAACTCATAACTGTTAAAGTATAAATGTATCGATAAAATGGACTTAATTTCCCATTTAGCTCGGAACAAAAATTGTGATAATAAGGGCAATTTGAACTTGTAAAAGAACTGAAAGTAAACAATAAGGAGCTAATGGAAAGCGGCTACCAATTAAGCTTCAATTGATGATGATAACGATAAATTTATCTCGCGCATTCTTCATTTTAATGTGCTATTATGCGCTTTTCAGCACTTTTCGGGGAACTTTTCGGGCAGACTGCATTGAGCAGTTTACAACTTTTGAAAGGGAATTTTTCAGGTGCCTCCTTGAGTTACAGAGAAGATGCAAGAAACGGGGCTTACGGTTTTCCGTTCTTATCCGGGACTAGAATATCAAATCATTTGCAGATGTCACAGCTTAGGCGGCAGCACATTGTCCTCAGATATTTTAAGACTCAGGGAGATGGTCCAGTCTAGGGCTTGAACCCTCGACCTCCGGCGCTCAACAACGTGAACTAAACAGGCGGTGGTATTTCAGAGCTTATTGACATTTTCTCATGCTTTTTACCCACATCACAGACATTGACACACCAGATACAATTGACACTTGGGGTGCAGTTACCTGCCACAAACCACACAATCATCTTTTGACGAAATCCGAGAATAGAATGTTGATGGCTGATGTCTGAAAAACCCACCTTTCTTGATAGCTTTGATTAAAGAGGGTTCCAATTCAACTGCAACTGTTGCATCATCGAGACATTCCACGTAGTTTGCTGTGAGATTCAAGAAATAAGGCTTAAAAAAGTGGTCACCATATGGAATTGCAACAAAGAAGCCTTAAAAAATTACAATTGCTTAAAATGTAACGAGGATCATTCCTTTGCTTAATTTTCATCCGCTACAGGGCGATTTATGTTTTTACGCTACTTTTCTGCATTTGCTCAATTTTTTCTTTTCTTGATGCAGATTGTGTATTCCGTTATCTTGTAACGCTGCACGGCAGATTTATATGTTTACATATGAAATCGTTACCCAAACGGAAATGAGCTGTTGCCCTGTTGCTGTAAAGCTTGGCGTTCAGCCGTTTATCTTTGCAGTTCACTTGAAGTCCTTCCGTGTAGGAGTTTATCGCGTTATTGGCTTCTCCTTGTCTGTATTCTTTGTTACCTTTCTCCAGACATACTTTCACTATTTCTGAAAACACAACGTTTTCATGTTAATGATTTAGTAATAAGTGATACGACCCTTGACGGATGATGCCAACTTTAAATATCCAAACGAACTTTTAGGTTAAAGCAGCTCAGAGCTATGAGAAAAAACAACCAGAAAAGTTTAATATTTGTACATTTTGTTTGCGTGCAAGCTGCTGGGAGTCTGGGCTGTGGCTTGGCTATTACCACAAGTTTATCAATTTACATTATAAAATAATTCAAATAGTGCGCGCGCTCTGATTGGCCATAAAACCATTTTACATGAGCGTATGTAAACACGGTTTTCGTTCCTCTTTCATTAGTTATTTTATAAAAGAAATGTAAGTATAGCTTCGCGTTGTGGTTTCCTACGCTTATCTCGTGTTCTCTCAACCTCCCGCGTGTTTACATCAGGCTATGTAAACACGGAAAACATTTTACATTTCTTCATTTAGGTCGAGAGGCTTTCCAAACTCCTTTTACACCTGGCATACGTTTCCAAAATATCACAAGTTTCACCGGGGGATCCTATCTTAACTCAGCTTTGTTTACAAAAGCCCTTCAGGAGAGTTTATCTGTGCATTTTGTTTTCTTTAAAATATTCAAGTTATTTTTGGAGTTTTAGCTGTAGCTTGGCCATAACCACATCAGGTCTGATCGGTTTACATTTAGGTCGAGAGACTTTCCAATGACCCTTTTACACCTGGGTTACGTTTTCCAAAATTTTATGTTAGAATATAAAATCCCATAAGTTATTGCATAAAGCAAAGCAAAGCCAGACCGAAAAAAAGGTTAAAACTTGTGAATGCTCTGATTACGAAAAAAAAGAACATCGTGCTGAGAGTCTGAGAGTGACAAGAGTTCGTGGTTTTACCATCGTTTAGAAAAGTGCGCTGGAAAAAAATTTTTTTTTTCTTTTTCTCTTTATCACTTGGTTTTTCTCATACATGTAATTGTCTATTGAGAACATAGTCGAAGAAGCTAACTGGAGAAATCTTATTGGGAAAGTATTACTTTCCTGCGAAGTGCCATTTTGCCTGTTGTGAAAGTCAGCAGTTCCTCGTTTTGTTGGCTGGTGGTTTACAGCGTGGGCCTGGTGTTGACATAACTGTCTAAAGAGGCGTGAAATCAGAATTCTCAAATCGCGTAAAAATTTCTGCCAAACATGTACTGAACAATAAGGGACAAAAATGTGCTAGCGTAAATACTTTCCTTTTGGCGGCCTCAAAAAGTTATCCGTTTGCAAATTTTTCAAAACTCGACTTTGACGGGTCTACGGGTACTAACAGCTCTCTCTTGCCGAATATGACTTCTATATTAAAAATGACCAAATTTACAATGTTTTCAAGTGCAAAAGGATAATACTTGTACTACGCAAATATCCTCCATTTTAGGTGCAAATTGTACATACATCGTTAATCTCCAAAACATTGTGTGTTGATTTACTAGTAAGCACTTCTAAAACTCAGAAAAACCGAGTTTTACAAAGCCTAGTAGGCCAATTTTGGCCCATTCTTCTTTAATTTAGGGCTCTTCAAAGCTAAGTCGCCTTCAAATTTGTCGCTTTATTGCTTATGAATGGCACAACACAAGGCAAACAATGAAGAGTTCTTGAAGACACGTGCGTCGTGTACTTTACCCGGCCATCCAACACATATATCAAGAAATAGATAATTACAATCTACTAGCCCCTGAAGGATTAATGAGTGGAATCCTTTCCTGTTAACATAATCATCTGGACTTTGCCGAGGTCCAATGACTGGGACATGGCAACCATCGACTGCTGCAACCACCTGGGGAAAACCCGCGCGACTTTTAAAACCTTCAATTTTTTCTTGGACTTCATGTTGATTTTGGGGAACGTTTATATAATTGGGAAGAAGAACGTTCACTATCACCTCGCATACCTGTCGCACAATACCACAAACAGTGGATTTTCCGACACCAAATAGATTTCCGATCGTTCGAAAGTGAGCCGTGTCCGCAAGCCAATATAATGTTATGGCAACTCGATGACGCACTTTAATGGCTTTCCTGTAATTGGTGTCCCTTTTAGAGATATGTGGCGAAAGTTCTCGGCAAAGGCGATTAAATGCTTCTTTAGACATGCGAAAATTCTCATTCCAGTCCTTTTCTTCCCAATCTTGGCAAGTCTCTTCCCAAAATATCTGCGACCGGGGTTTTAGCCAAATACGGCGAACAGGAAGATGTTGGAGAAGAAATCGAAGCAAAAAACGAAAAAACAATGATGAAACGAGACGTCTCCGACGGACATAGCGATTAAACCGTCTCTCTGCGTTTCTCTGTCGGTTTTGTGTAATTCTGAGGTTTTCCCTCAGCCGTGACTGCGCCAACAACAGCAGGATATTGTGATTTAAACTGACCGCCATTTTTATTGCGTCTTTAATTTTGTTGGCAACAATTAATATCAAAACGAGGCTGCGTAATACCTAACCCAGTCTGCAGTGTGAACGGTTCTTGAGCAACACATGTTTTATAAAACCATGTTTAAAAAAACTACGTTTAATGAAACTTGTTTAAATTGGTGTGAACAGGGCATAAGTCGCCTTCAAATTTGTCGCTTTATTGCTTATGAATAATTAATGATGTCTACGCATTTTTCTCGATCTGATCGAGCAACAACTTGTTTTTTCTTTCTTTGAAAGAATCTCTTCTCACCTCTTAAATGGTTATCGTCCTCATCCAGCTCAGCGTCACTTGACGTAACTTGACTTTCCTCTGTCGATGAAATTACAGAGAAGATATTTCAACTTTGTTAGTGATCACAACTATGTGCAATTAGAACTAGCGTTCTAATACTGGTGTATTCAGTGGATTCCTAAAACCTTCAAGTCGAAGTGATCCAAAAAATTATACACCAGAATTAAGGTGTAGATAATCAACAAACAGTAAAAAATTACCATAAAGAAGTCTTTCCTTGTTGCCTTTTCTTACCTGTAGCTGGAAACTCATTTTTCACCTCCAGTTCTTCTCCCGTTGTTGAGAGGTTGCTTTCTGCCATTGCTAGAAATAAAATTGAATCGATTGCACTGCGTTACATCGTTAAAAATAAAAAGGAGGAGATTCAAATGAAAGTAACTTAAAGAAAACGTTGTATACTTAATCATAGAGGATGGATGAGAACCTCAAAGTTTCTCCGTCACGCTATTGTATTTGCGTGACAGCTCCAGTCAAGTTCAGCGGGTTGTGTCATGAATGTTTTTTTCATTCGTTTGTTTGTTTGCTTGATTGTTTTTTGGTCTTTTCTAATGAAACGTCGTTCAAGGCTGTCACTTATCAAAATGCGTGAGTTGCAATAAACAACCTAATTGTACCCGGTAGGCATGGATAAACACAGATAAAATGTTATGCAATAAAAGACTCTTTCTCTCATTCCTTCATTTTACCGCGTGTGGGGCTGGGAGAATTCGCAAAACTTATTCAAGCCCGAAACACCTTCGAAGGTCTGCGTAACCGTCACGAATTCTACCAACACCCCGAGAGCCTATTGCGTAACGAAACACGTTTATCAACCCGTGGTAGCGAGTGTACCAAGACGGATAAAACGTCTAGGACGAATTTAATTTACCAGACGAGTTTAATTCGTTTTAGAAGTCGCGCTATCGTCGAATTTAATTGCTGGTGGGACCTTGAGTTAAATTCGCCTGCGATTATTTTGAGGGACTGGAGAAGATGGCACTGGAAAGTGTCCTTTCCATCAAAACTCTTGTTATAAAGAAACTTTATCTACATCAAATGAAAGCCAAGCGCAACACGCAGACTCCTGCATGGCTTAATCTTGTAGGCTATCGAATGAATTTACTGCCAGGCCAAATGAGCATTTGGCGGAGGAAGCAGACTGAAAGCGAAATGAAACAAACAAAAAAAACATTTCGATATCGCCAAGCAAAAGAGAACTTTAAATTTATTTGTGAACGAATTGCTGATCAAAAGAGATTCTTCTGCAATGTAATAGTGATTGGGAAATTTTCGTGAAGCTGCTGGGGTGCTCTTGCCCTACAGAACAGGATTCTGCTCCAATATCAGCATTTACTGAGCTCACAGTTTTATCTTCCAGCGCACGATGTAAACACTCAAACATTGTGCCGATTTAGTCTGTCATTGCGCGAAAAGGTATATCTACTAAAACCGAACTCTGACAGATAACCAGTTAGAAATGATACTACAAACCACCTTGTAGATACGTGGTGGACATGTAGCATTTAAATCCGGTTATCATTGAAGAAATGTAAAATGGTTTCCGTGTTCACATAGCCTAATGTAAACACGCAGGAGGTTGGGAGAACACGAGATAAGCGTAGGAAACCACTACGCGAAGCGGATTGGTTTCCAGCTTATGTTTCCTTTCCAGCTATGTAAACACGGAAACCATTTTACATTTCTTTTATAAAATAACTAATGAAAGAGGAACGAAAACCGTATTTACATAAGCTCATGTAAAATGGTTTTATGGCCAATCAGAGCGCGCGTACTATTTCAATTATTTTATAATACGATATTGATACCTTTATATATGAAGACATAAATGGTACGCCTACAGCGTGCGGTGGGGAAAAAAAATTCTGTTATCTCACCGACAACCATATTACCGTTATTATTACTATATATCGCGAGTGTTACGACATTAAAAGAGACGTTGGCATTTTGTATATTTTTTTTCAACCTCGAGCTTTGTTTCAAACTTCGTTTGTTTACGAGAGATAATAGCTGGTTATGACATTGACGAGAGCTATAATTATGTACAGCACGTTATCTAGCTTTGTCACATGCTCACCACGCGCTTCTGCCGCATAATTATCATGTACAGTTAAACCTTTAACTCCCGTGATCTAATTGTTAATTCTCCCTTCCAGCTGCTACATGTTTCCTTTCAAAGTAGGTACGGAAACTTGGTGTTAGTTCAAAGATAACGAATTCTACCTGATAAAACTTATTACCTGTTTGCTGGATAATGTATTGATATTACAGGGATAAGTTACACGTTATATCACTTCTAGGAGTTTAAGGCTTTAGGAAATTGCATCGCGTGCAAACTATTTAACCACGAGGCAAATGAGAGAAACCAATGAAATTTATAATTGTACGCAAGTGAAATATTTTTACGTCTGACAACAATAACCCGAGAAAATTCAACTGAAATTAAACTTAATTGTTGTCAGCCGCAAGAAAATTAAGATTACGATCTTTCATTGTAAATAACATGAGCTCTACAGCTAATCAGTTGCAGAATGAAAATTCGTTTGTACCTGTTAAACTGTTATCCTCTGAATCTCTCTCTTCTCCAAACGATGTCATTTGTTAATTCTACATGCCTGAAAATATTAAGAATAATACTTTGCTTTACAACAATTTTGATAAAAAAAATGAAGGTTACATATTCACGAGTTTAAAAGATCTAACCTCGTCTAATTCCCAGTTTCGTGATCAAAATTGCTGTTCTTCTTAGTTATTGTGCTTGTTTTTTTATTTGTTTTATTCTTTTATGATTAAAATTTGTTAACATGTTTCTGCATGACTATTAATTGATTCAGTTTGTAATTTAATGCAGCTCTTTCTCTTTTAGTGCGAAATACTCGCAATCCGCAAAATCCCTTTTCTCTTCAGAGCAGGAAATGTTACATTCTGCCATAACTGAATCGATAAGGATGAATTCACACCGTGAGTTATATTGTACCAATGCAATTTCTCTTCAAGTTATCAACTCGATATATCCCTCGTTCAATGCGCTCTCTCGTGAGATATCGAGAATAGTAATCCCATATCTACAAGCAGCCATGTATTATTTTGTTTATTATATAAACACCATAGGCATTTACAGACAACTTGAAAGGCGACTTTATTAAGGAATGAGAATTTGCCATTCATTCACCAACCTAATAAAGTGGCGCGAAAAGCGGGTGACGTCCAGCAGCTGATTGGCGATACCAATCAGCGTATTTTATATGATAAACATTTGTTTTTGGTCATCTTCCCTTTAGCGTTACAGTTCTCTCAAATTTTCATTTTCCACTCACTCCGTGACAACGTTTCTAAAAATAATAACGGTGAACTTTTTTTTTTACTGTAAACAACTCCCGCCAATTCTGCACTAAATATTTTTGCAGTCAAAAGCGTAAGTGTCCAGTGAAATTCAGTGGCGCTCTGGATCTCATCCCGATACAATCAGTTTTTGAATAATAAAATCTGTTCCTTCCTAATATGAAAACGATGCTGATTCACAAAATCAAGATGGGTTTGTTCGTATGTAGTCGAGTCCCGAACAAGTTGAAATGGGCATCCATCCCTCAGTTGTTTTCATTCACTGGCTTTCTCTCACATGTAAAGAATATTTTAGTGTTACATCAAGATACTTCGCTATAAGCGATAACTTTCTCTGCTCTCAACGAACACTAATTTTTTTTGCTGGTTGTTGCGTTGATATCTACGTATACTTTGTAATAACAAGTTGCACATATTCATCACCGGAGGGAGATACAAAGCTAAAGAAATCACATCAATAATATGTATTCTTTATGTATATTTTTTTCCAATTTTCATGTCTTTCGATTATAATATGCTACATATTTCTTCATTAGCTTTCCTCACCTGAAGAGTACTTGCAATAAATTTAACTCCAATAAAGTTCTTTTCCAAGAAAAATACTTGACTTCTCGTTGTATCTAGAGAAAAGCATATTTAAATCGTTTCGCGTGCTATAAAGAATTAAAGCGAATACCATAAGTACTCTTCTTAAAGAAATATCCGAGGAAGATATTCAAAATTTTTTAAATCTATGTACTCCATGCATCTTTGTGTGCAGAAACCCTCAGTGTATCTTGCAGGAATTTTATGAATAAATTGTTACTGAACCAGTTGTCTTTAAGTTGGAGGAGAAATCTGAGGCCCTAGCTCTCTGTCTCTTTGAGCTCCAGAATTGTCTGCTGAGTTTGGATGCAGTAAGCGAGGCCATAAATAATTGTATAATAGTTCCTACAGACATGTGACGCACTTGATACTGGAATCAGAAATGCCGCAGCTTCGTAAATCCCTCATGGGAAGATAAATAAGCCACCTCAAGGTCTGGTATGTTTATTTACATGTCAGCATTGATATTTAATCTGTCGTTTAACCTGATCTGACGGATAAGGTTTTTTTTTCGGTCGTTGGTTAAAAATGATTTTTTCCTCTGTCACGAAAGAGCTTGAAATTTCCTTTCTATCATTATGTATTTTAAGACATGAAACTTTCGACATTGATGATCTAGGCAGTATGCAAGATGATCCTTTATGTATCCATTGTATGTCATGGCTCATCAACGAGAAATCCATAGCTATATGTGAGAACTTCAAATCGTAAAATCCGATGGTCTAAGATTCGATCCTGCGTTCGTGACGAGTAAATAAGATCGATATTTCTTTCATTCTTTTGTCTCATGTCTCAAATTATTTCTATTTGTATCTTTAGTCAATACCCGTTTATCTCATTCACTGCATTAGGTCGCTATTAACTTATTCTGTCCTCACCTTAACTCCTGTGAAAATGTGATTTGCCCCACAAGTGTGTAACAAAACGGTGCACTTGGTAACACCAGCAGTATTGAAGAAGCTGAATATGAGCTCAACGAACTCGAAACTGAAAATCGTGTATCATTGTTTATTTCGTGATCCATGATTCTATTTTGTAGCTATGCTGTTTCACTATTTATACGCCAAGTTTGGACAGGGCCTCATATTACATTTTTTAACTTTTCATTTTCATTAATCCGGAGTATAGCACAATGACATAAACATGCTATTTTTTCAATTTATTAATTTTTTTTTTTTGCTGATGTGGTGGTCGTTAAACCATCGCCTGCTTAGGTTGATCGAAGGGCGCTGGATTGCCATACGAGAGGTCTTGAAGGACTGGCGAGAATAAGAAACACACGTACTGAAAGCATAGTGAAGGAAATTTTCTTATTAAAGATGCAGGCGATTTGTCGGCCTGGAAACTTCACAATTTTTTTAGGAAAAGTTGACCAATAGAGCTGTAATTCGACGGGTGAGTGAAAAGAAATGACATGAGGTCAAATTTAGCAAAAAGTTACTGTATAGCGAATACGACTAAAAATACAAGGAAAAATTAAATCTGATTTTCTTCGACTGGATAACGTGGAATTCTCGAAAATTGGGAAATTTCCGTCTGTTGGAATACAAATAGTAGTGAGTTTTTTTGGTTTGCCCAATCGAAAAAATATCCAAAACGTGGTAGAAAATAATAAAAAATACAAAGGTATTTTAACTTCCCAATTTCTCCTGGCTACTACTATTGTAGGATGGAAAGTGGAGGAGGTATAGAATTAGAGAAAAAAAAGGAAAAAAGGAATAAGTTTCGTGCGCTTCGAGAAAGGTGGTGCGGTGGATTAAAGCTTTCATTTAGCTTATTTTTTGTCAACAAATTAAACATTCCCATCCATAACGATCCAAACTGGCACAGAGATGACATCCCAACACTTTAATGTGAGCTGTGTTGAAATATATTACTGAAATGGCGTTGATGTTCAAAACAGAATAATAATAATAATAATAATAATAATAATAATATTAACAATAATAATAATAATAATACAAAAGAAGCAAAAAAATACAGATTGATGTAAAAAGCACTTTGATATTACATCGCCGAACTTTCATATTTTATTTGATCTGTTGTCAATGCTTTAAAAGTACAAAAGGCAATTCATTACTTATTCAGTACCAAAGCCTATGGCATTTTCGTTCAATCAACTATAAAAAAGTATAAGCCTCTCATCATGTGATATAGTCTCATACCGTCCTGAATTTACCACAAAACCTTCCTTAGCTTAGCAATTTGCACAATATTTTAAAGATCTCACTAACGTGCTAAATAACCCTGGCAGTTCTTATCATCATTGGCAAAGAAAAGTCAGGTAAATTTTAATGATTTCAAGTACCAACTGAAAGGCGAGCTTTTCCAGGTACCAGTAATGCATATATTGATAATCATTAATAATTGAATTTCATGTTAACTTATAAACCAGGCATAGGTAGCAATGTATAGATGAAGTGCTATACTCAGCTTTAAAACTCTTTTCGGTGGTCAATTTACGTTACCAACTCAGTTGATAATAATAAATTAACTACAGTGGAAAATCAGTTTAGTAAGACAGGAGAATGAATGAAGCATCTTTAATAATATCAAAGTCATTCCAAATCTTACAGAAATTTGACAACCTGTCAGAAGGCCATCCATGGTTTTATTGTTCAGTGACTGAGAAATACGTTCTTCCAAGGTCTTTTTGCTCCGTGTGTCACTGGCATTCATTTCAATGTACGTAAAACCAAGCTCTTCACAAACCAGTGTCGCTGATGTGGTTTTACCAACTCCTGGGGAACCGGACAGAAGAGCTGCCTTAAAGGACGACCCATCTTGGTCTTTGTTGAAAAAGGAAGCTGTACAAAATAAAAATGCTTACAATTAACATACTAACTACATGTATAAGTGACTGTCGAGTGAAATAAATTCATCAAAGTTCATAAGTTACAGCTCTTTAAAAAATGTATCTCTGAATGTGGGAATTAAGAAACAATCTGGATTCAGTGTGAAAGGTATTCAGCCTACAGCTAGACAACATTTGCATCACAACTCAGTTTAAGGTCTTCTGTAAAATATCTGCAGATTAAGGTTAGGTTCATCCACTGAAGCCTTTTACTCCAAACAGCTCACTAGTACTTCGTACTGTCTGCCATCAAATTCTTATGATTTGGATAATTTAGTATTGTATCAACTAATAATCCCCTAATTAATTTTTTTCTTTTTTTTTTAATTCTCTTAACTTGCCTGCTCGATATTGTATTGATATTGTAAGGAGAAATCCTGTCTTGGTCACTTATGGGAGTTAAAGGGTCAAAGGTAAAGTCAGCACAAGAGCCAGAGGACTAATCTTGCCAAAGCTTAAATTAATTTCAGTAGCATCAGGTGACTAGGAGAATTGCTCCCCCCCTCCCCCACTAGTATGGTTCCCCTATCTGGTTACAACCCAAACTTGTTCATCTGCTTTCTCCGACAGTTTGCCTGAACCGTTTGCATACTTGCCCGAAGAGAAGTTACATTTACATGTATTCGAGGGAAAAGCATCTTGACAATCAAATACACGTGTACTCACATTTAGAGGCTGGTTTCTTTCTATTCTTTTCCCACTCTCTCAGCCAGTTCATCAGCTCTCTCAGTTTGCTCTTATCACCCTGCTGACCAATAATCTGCTCACTGCGTGAGGTTGATCTTTGTCTACTCATAACAGACTTGGTTCTCCTGCACACACACAAAAAAAATTACCTTTACTGTCAAAATCTTACGTAGATTAAAAGAATAAAGCAACAAAAAACAAAAACACTGTACTTTCTTGTAACTCAATTTAAGTAACACAAACAAGTCTACAGGTGGAAGTACAGTAAAATGATCCAACAGATGAACCTAAAGGTGGAATTTAGAGTAGTGGTAAAACTGACATGTGGGTGACTGGACAGAGGAGAACAAAGAGAATAAGTGACAGATAGAAAGACAGTAATTGGAAGAATGAACATACACAAAAGAGCAGACAGACAGACAGACAGACAATCTAAGTGACACCATAAATTAAGTAGATGGTAGAAGGGAAATGAGGATGAACAAATTATGTTTACTTATCAGTTTCACACTAGCTTATGGCTCCTATGACATTTTTCTGGTACATGTATATCACATACATATGCATGTATTTTTATGTTATCTGTAATTTTAATACAAAGTCATGTACAGTACCTGGACGCACACAAGAGAAATTATATTCACTAAGTGTAATCATTGCACAATGCATGTAGGATGCTTACTGGTGAGGAAATAATTTAAGGCATACAGCTGAAGTGTGAATTAAATTTTCAGTGAAGTCATGCTCTTGTGCTAATTGTTGGAAAGGTTTGAAACACCCAGCTTTCAGTGCAGGTGATGATGATGGTGTTTGTGTTGTTGGAGAAGACACAGATCTTTCACTCAGTTGTGACATATCACCCTCAAACTGATCTTTTCCCTGGCCGAGGGACTCCATTGGTTCAGCTTTCTCCTTCTTCTTTGTCTTCTTCTCCACACTTGGTGGTTCATAGCTGGTCTCGTTGCCTGGTTTTGTTCTGACAAGCTCAAACAGACTGTCTTCATCTATTTGTGATGTTCCACATTGCTTAGCCTAACAGATAAGCACCAAAGTTAAAAAAAAAGAAACAAAAAGACAACTACAAAAACAACAACAACAAAGAAACCATAGGTCTCTTGCCAAGTAATGTTTAGCTATTCAAGGAAGGAAATACAACCTTGAACCAGTTAAAAAGGTCTCTTAACAAGGAAAAATTTAATGAACTCCACAGCAAGAAATATAAGTTTATGCTCATGGAAAAAAAAAACTCTTTTTAGAAGCCAACAACAAAAAGAAAATGTTAAATTTCTACCATAGTAAATTTTTCAGTTCATGTTGGTTTCCTCTACAGACTTACAAATCAATGAATTGTGTTCATTTTGCAAATTTGTGGCAAGTTTCCCAGGTGTTTTAACTGTAAGCCGCACCCAGATTTGTTTTAAAAATTTAGGGAAAAAGGTGCAGCTGCTATGTTTATGTTCACAGTTTTTTTTTCCTCTTTTGAGCTGTACATCACAATGTACCTTGGAAAGTTTACTCTCCCCAGGATCCTGTCCCATGACAATAAAACTCTTTTTCTTGCTCACTGAGTGGGTAACTTTTCCACCATATCCTTGAATCAAATCTGCTGTGTCCTCTCTCTTGATACTTTCCAAGATTCCCGAAATAACAAATGTCAGTCCATCCAAACAGTTTTCCACTTCCTAAAAATTAAATTATCAAGTGCATGCATAATTCAAGATGAGCAGTGAAAAAAATTAATTCTTCCCTTGAAGGCCTCTTAATACTGTCCAAACTGAAAAGATATAAATGGCGAAAAAGTAAAAAACTCTGTAGATACACCATAAATATTTCAGATCAATGTCAGCATCTGTGCACCTACCCCTCCCCCAACCCAACACCTCCCCCAACCCAACAACTGTCAACTGCTAACAAGTAAGGGTTAAAGTTGTATTAGGGGAGGGGTAGGTGTGCAGTTTCTCAGATACAGACATTGAACCAACATTTGAACATCAACTGATAGTAAAAGGATAAAATACATTTTTTTGTTTAACCCTTTAACTCCCATGAGTGACCAAGACAGAACTTCTCCTTACAATATAAATACAATATCATGCAGACAAGTGATGAGAATAAATAAAAATATCAACCAGGGGATTATTAGTTGATCCAAGACCAAATTCTCCAAATAACATTACAAGAATTGTACAACAGACAGTAAAGAGAATTACTATTGAGATCTTGGGAGTAAAAGGGTTAATCAAAGCATGCATTTTACAATTTTTTCCTGTAAACTGTATCTGCAGATTTTCCAAACCAGCTTTAATTCTAATAATCTTCATTTTCCTTTGTCTTGCATCTCTCATTAAAATTTGAAAGGATGGAAAACAAACCACAAAGAGCTTTTGAGAGATAATAATAATTTAACTACTGGAAGAAATTAACATGTAACTTCTCCCTAGAATATCCATAGATTATCCAGCAAACAGGTAACGAGAACACTAAAACTTTTCAGGTACATGTAGTTGTTATAATGATCTAACAACAAATTCTCATTATTAGTTTACAGAAAAATGTGTAGCAGCTAGAGGGGAGAATTAACAATCAGATCTTGGTCTTTGAAACCTACCTGAGGGATTTCCTTTGAACCAAGCACCCTAGGACCATCTCTTGCCATAAAACTACGGAAACCAGATTTTTTCTTTTCCAATGAGGGTGGAACTTCAACCACTTCCTCTGATTTTGACACCTTTGGTGTTCCTTGGGTTGGAATTTCCTTACTAACATTTTTTCATCCTTTTTTGGAGTAACAGTTTTCTTTGGACTTGGTTTTCAGTCTCTAACTGGAGTTTCTGGAACTGTGGCAGCTTTGACAGCCAGTTTGCTAGCAGGAGTTGTCTTTGGTACCTCCTGAAAAGTCCATGGATAAAATTTGAAGTGAACAAATTTTATATGTATATCAAGCATTCTAACAGCTGAGAGTTGTCCAATTGAGGCAAGAGTTGTCCCAAAAGAAATGTTGATGGTGAAAGACACTGCTGCTTTGAAAAATGGTGACAAAGTGGTAACATCTTCCCAGATTGTCAAAGTTAAAATCACCAAGAATGTACCTAAAAGTTTTGCCACTATTGTTACTGTTTTTGTATAAATTCTAGGTACAGTAATGGTAGTATTTTGAGTAGTATTAGTATTGTAAGTTATTTTTTGTTCCAAGTAATGCAACTCAGTAATGTGCATCTGAGTAAAAACCATCTACTGTCATAGTAGGACAGGTTTACATATACAACATGTACCACCAGTTAACAAATTTGAGTGAGCTTTTGGATCTTATACAAAGCCAAATTTAGTCATAAAATGTTACTGTTTCATCTACAAGTACCTTATTCAAGTGCCTAATGACAAGTTGCCTAAACAACATACCATACACATGCAATCATATCAGATCCAATCCATTCTAGTATCAGGGTAGCAGGTTCAATTAAGGATTAATAGTAATGATTAATTTTGTAACAATATATAGTATGGTAATCAAAAGGCTTACAAACCTTTTTCTTCTCAGGGGAAGGCTTTTTAACCTCAGACTTTGATTCTGAGAAGTCTTCCTTCCTTTTCTTTGATGGTTGCTCTGCTGTTGGATGGTTGACATTCCCATTTTCTCTTCCTTCTTTTTCTCTCCCATTTTTATACTCTTCTTTTCTATTCACTTTGGAGTCTTCATTTTCTTAAGACTTGTCAGATCTCTGTGGGAAATGAAAAAAGATAAAAAATTCTTGATTGTTCTACAAGGAACTAAGGGATGATCATTAAGTGAGTTGAGCTCTGGTCATCAAGCTTAAAATTTGCACTCTCAAGAGTGATCAATTTTCTAATTTCTCATAACAATACCAATTCACAGTCAGGCAGCAATGTAATATCAGAAGAAAGAAAGTCCTCACACAAGAGGATATTTATTGCTTGAACAGCATGTTCTCAGAGATATTTTCATAACACTTGTGTGACAGACAGTAAAGAGAGTTGATTTAAATATCTTAGGGGGAAAGGACTTATCTCTATACATTTCCTAGGGTACTGACAAAGGAGAATTTGATTAACAAACAAGAGCTTAGTTGGTGATCATTTCCTTTATTCTTGTGACCTTAACCTTGACACCTGTGTGTAACACGTGCTTATCCAAAAGTTAAAATTTTGGAGAAACCAGAAAAGCAAACAATCCACAGTAAATTTCCATAAATCATCTTTCACCAAAAAGAAGCTCCAGTGAAAGAAGACCATTTAAATAACCTACTTTCAACAAAAAAAGCGATAGATGCATATTAATGTTTGATTCAGGGGGAATATTGTAAAGAGAAATTAGATGCTAGTCAAAGGGTTAAATGTATTAGCATAAGAGCAGTGTCCTATGACAGGTCTAACATTCTCAATGCTTGATGGAAGAAAGGAAAAAAACAAACAAACAGACAAACAAAATTTAGCTGGATAATTTTAGAAGAAGCCAGATGATTCTCCAGAGCAATATCTTATGTTCTAAATGAATACCATGGTTTGGTACTGAAATGTCAAATATAATGAAAGAGAATGATGGATGATACCTCTCTTTAACTTGCTGGACCTCTTGAGAAGCTACTTTGTCTGTCTGTTTTGCAGACTCTTTTAATTTGATGGGCACAACTTCTTCCTCATCTGTAGAAACCACATCAGAATATAAGTCAAGTGCTACAATATTCAAATTCTATTTGAGGCAGAGTGGTCTAATGGTTAGTGTGCTGAACCCTGAATGAAGCAGATGGCTTTGTTTTTGTCAGCAAGCTAATACATAAGCAATGTTAAAGGTCATGTGATGTTAAAAAAACTGACATCATCTTACTGTACATGTACCTCAAGCTCACCTCACATTAAATATTTCCCTATCCAGCCCTCCCACTCCATCAATAGGGACCTTAAGATCCAAGGATGGCGGATGTCTACGATGGTGGGCAGAAGTTTGAATGCATGTCTATCTACTTCCAGTAGTAAATTCCCACCGTAGCTGTGTTGTCTGTGACGTCAAAACAACTAGTCTGCCGTTTCGTACAAAATGTGAGTTGATTACAGTGTTTTTATAAAATATCTTTTATAATTTCAAATATTTTGCGCATTATGGAGTCAATAACATTTTTAATTCATTTGACTACTCTTCTGGGACCTGATTTTAGCAGAAAAACATGTTTTTTTCCTTCTCCACTAAACAGGTCATGGCTGCAGCCAACATGAGTGCCAAGAATATTGCTTAGTAAGTTCTCTTATTCTTTTTACTTCATGTTTTAACAATGAATGTGGTGAAACTCAACATGAATTACCCTTAGAAAAATCTCTCGATTACTTATGTTTGTGATAGTGTCTTGCATATTTGGTGAACAAAAAAGGGTTCTGCTTGCAGTAAGAAAAAAAAGGCAAACAACATACAACACAAACAAAAAAAAGAATAAGCGCTAACAGTTTATTATAATTATCTTTAGAACCAACATGGAGTGGACTGAACAACATGGCAATATTCTTTGTCAGGAGATTCTTGTTCTTGAACCATTCAAGGCAAAGAAAGGAAGCATTGCAAGGGGCCAAATTTGGGATAAATTAGTGAACAATCTGAACAGCCTTCAACATCCCCAGCTCACAGTGATGAAGCGATCTGTTAGAGAATGATATATGCTTTTGAGTGACAAATTTAGAGCAAAGATGTAAGATGAAGAAAAGACAAGTGGAATAGATACAGATTTGAGTGACGTTGAAAAAGCACTTGAGGAGATAGTAGAAAAAGAAGCTGTGGTTGAAGAAACAACACAAAATGACAAAAAGAAAGTCGATAGCGCCAAAGTAGCAGAAATAAGATACAGAGCTCTAGAGAACCTTGGTGGGACACAGAAAAGACAAAGGAAAGATGAGGTAGAGAATGAAACAGCAACAAGAGCAAAATGTTGAAGAAGTGGTAGTGACTCGGTCATGACAGCTGTGGTAGACATCAGCTGTTCTTGGATCTTAAGGTCCCTAATAAGCAGAGTCTGCTAAAAACCCTTGTGTTGAACTCAGTCACATAAAAATATTTAGCCATCTTATTCATCATGAAAAATATCCAAAATGTTTTCACATTCACATGAAATTCAAGACAATCACATTTTGAAGATAAATAAAACCAAAGAAAAAAAATTAAACCAAATTCATATTTTCACTCTTTCTAACCTGTTAATAAAACTGTTAATCCTATAAAAATTAAAAATATACATAATTATACAAAAAAGATGATATCACAATTCCCGTGAAGATAAAGTCTCCACATCACCTTTCATGTAAAAAGTATCAGGTACCCTCAATAAGTAGACATAATTTCCTTACCTGAGTCCAAGCTGATTGCTCTTCTACTTTTCTTAGCTTTTGAACTCTCCTCCTTCTTTACTGATGTGGCTTTTCTGAAACAGAGATGAGTGAAAGAGAACCAGGTTCTGAATACGCCCCAAAATCGTCAGCTAAATTGCTCTTTTGTCGAGTGACCCATGTTTCCTAGTATATTATTAGTATTGCCTATGTTATATATATTTCTTGTTATTTGTATTTCCTTTGTTATTTCCAATCTTCGTTCTTGATGTATTATGTTTGTAAAACTTTACTTAGAAACCACTGGCAATGGCATATAGATGGAAGAGTTCAGTCCAGTCATCAGGAAATTAAACTCATCTAAAATTTATTGCTGGCATGTAGGTTACACCAGGCTTGTGGAAAAATAGTCTGGGTAAAGTGAAGTCTCAAGGTTTCTTTATCAATCACCTTTGAAGTTAATGAATAATTTCATTTTCCCTTCAGTCTGAGTAAATGAAAGATTAACTAGTACTTGTCAAAATTGTGAAATAAGCATCAGAGTTGTATTTTGCTACTGCTCTGCAGAATTAGTCAGCTGAAGTTTGAACAAATTTGTGGGAAATGCTAAAGTCCTGGATATTTCAAACTTCAGTGAAATTTAGGTGGCAGTGTATCGCATCATGCTGTTTAACCCTTAAACTCACACATGGGATTAACAGAATTAGCAAACTGATCTTGGAAGTTAAAGAATGAAGACAAAATTGCTTCAAATTATGGCCTTGTTTAAGATTAAAAAAAAAAAAAGGCAAAACACTGTAATTTATCAGCCTCACTCAGCTACCCTGGCATACTCAGACAAACTACTGAAAATTATACCTGCAAAGTTAGTTCATACACATACCATGTCTGACATTCCAGTCCAGAAAGATACCTTGGGTTAGATATATGTAGTTGAATGAAACTCTTGGTCAAAACATGTTGTAAAATTACCTACCACGTATGGCGATAAATACTAATTTTGGCGAAATTCTGCCGCTAAGAACCGGCTAAAACGACTAATAAACCATTTTAGTATTGTAATAGTAATGTGTCCACATCACTCTCTGATGTTCACGACAAGCGACTTAATACAGGAATGGCTCCGACTTGTGATTGGATGATAAACATATTAAAAGTTAATAAGTTATATCTTAACTCCTTGCTCGCGAGTACTCTTAACCGCGTGTCTCGAAGCCGAACAATGAAAAACCAATGTGAAAACACCGATGAGTCAAACAAGTAAATGGCTACTTACATAACGAAGAGAAGGTAGAGTCTATCTTGTTCAGCGGGGTCGTTCAGCGATATTCCGGCGATGAAAAAGTCTAAAACTCATTTAGTCAGTTCAGGCGGACGACCAGAGACTGGAGCCATTCGTGTATTCAACCGCAGACAGGAATGGCTCCAACTCATGCGTATATTAATTTTTGTTTTCGTTCTGGCTAAATGATTTATACACTGAGATGAAAACTGAAAGAGCAATTTATTAGGTTCTTCTTATGTTGAAGTCTACAGTGCTTGCAAATCAAGCCCTCTTTTATTACTGCAGGGCCATGCAGTTTCTAAGTTTTAAAATAATGCAGCAACTGCATGTCACGTTTGGAAAATCACGCAATGTTGCGTGACTCTGCGACCGATGTTTTTAATTCACAGTGTGCTCTGCTGGAGAAATATGGCTTGGCCGTAATCGAGAGAGTTTTCTATCGAGGAAAACTGATTTTCCAGGTTATTGTTCACATGAAGGACAAATCCATCATCGGGCTCTTCATCTGTTTTTGTACAACACCTAAAGGAAGAAAGTGGCGGATTAATTTTGCTTGGTAATTTCTAACAACTCCACTAGACCTAAAAAAAGAAAAAACAAACCGAAAAAACGTCAAATCAGTGGCAGTAGCTCTCGCACTGAATCATGTCAAAGTACCTCGACTGTTTGCAGTGATGGTACAACCAATCTTCGAACAATTTTCGGCTATAACAAGAAAGAGTAAACTGATTTTATAAAACTTGTTCTAAAATTAATGAAGGCTGTTCATCACATGACGCTGTATTGGAACGAGTATATCTCGTTTACTATTGTATCACACTACTGTTTTAGACAAGCTATTTATACCACTTAAATTTGAGAAAGAATGAGTATAACATAAACCACACGTGTAAAGTACACGAGCCATCCTAACCAAATTTGCCAACTGCTTTCCAGGCTCATCTGTAAAAAACCGCTTCAATTTTTCAAAGTGGAAAATTTTTTGCTGAAGCCATGGCTTCCGAAAATATTTCTCACCTCACCTAAAAAATTTTCAAAAGAAATTTTCAAATTTTTCACAACTTTGCCTATTCCTGCTCGTAGGTCCAGCCAAGCCCTTACGGTCATTGACCCCCGCAATAGCCGCTAACAATGGCTTATAAATATAGGCGTTTAGTGTCAACTTGTAAACTCCCTAAAGAAGATTATGACAGTTAGACGAAACGCGTCAGAGAATAAAGAAGTTTTACACTTCTGTTCGCACAGCGCTGCTCACTAGTTCATTTTTTAATTTTTTTTAAAACTTTTTTAAACAAATATTTCAAAAATTATTTTGAAATTATTGTAAAATTTTACACACCTGGCAATCCTCTAAAACCGCCTCTATGGGATCTTGGTTCAGATTGCACTGTACAGGTCTTATGTAAGCTCAATTTAATCAAACTTTCACAAGTGTAATTTCTAAGTGCCACTGTTGTAGAGACTGAAAAAAATAGTGCAGCTGCATAGTTACACTTTTCAATAAATCACTCAAGTCAATCTACCAAACTCTCCATAAGGTGTTTATGTTTAGTTTTATTTTCCTGCAAACCGAATACTTAGAGCCACTTGTTGGTAACTTCGAAACATTTTATTTTGTGAGTGACAATCTGATATCAGCTTGGCTACCACATGTAATGCGTTTGTCAAGCAGGATTCTGGGTATGTTCCAAAGGTTGCTTGTACTAACTGTAGCCTAAAGATTCCAGCAACTTCTGTCAGACAGCACTTGGAAATCTGCTGCAAAGATGATGAGCTGTAAGTACAATATTATTGTGTGATTAACATTGATGAAAATGAAATTTCCCTCAACATTAACACTACTTGTGTAAACATTGTAGTGATATGAATGAAGGAAGTGACTGTAAAGGCAAGTGGCAGACATTTTCAAGCATGTTCTTGTGACACCCAGGTGGATTTCAGATAACTTCGCACAAGTTTACTATAAGAATAATGGTAAGTACTAGAACCGTGCACTATTACATTATGCATGCACTTGGGACGTTTTAATAACTCTTGGAGCTGTATTAGGTCTTGGCTAACTCTTCCGCTTCCACAGATATCTGTAGTATATGCTCTGCCTTTTACCATTTGTTTAATCTTAGCCTTTACAGTCACTTTCTTCATCCATATCACACACATAGTATTCAAGCTGATATCAGATTGTCGCTCATTCATATCACTACAATGTTTGCACAAGTAGTGTTAATGTTAAGGGAAATGTCATTTTCTCATTTGTCTTCCCCGAAACTCGTTTCTGAGTGTCAGGCCGAACTGCATGTTACCTTGACAAAACACCATAATGAAACGCACGCTATGAAAATGACAAATCACAACAGCAAAACTGCTTTTCCCGATGTCGAAATTGAAGAATACTAGAATGCAATGGCAAAATAGCAAAGTATAATAGTCGAACGCCAAGGTAGAGTGACAAATCAACACATTGCAAAAGCATAATAGTCAAATGTGATAACCGTAACAAGAACCAAATAGCATATTAAGACGTCACACTGGAATATCACAATTGCATATCTCAATGTCATGACTGAAATTGTGGACATCATAGTTAAACATTTATTTTTGATGGTAATTACACCCCATACATAATGCCGGCATATCGACTAAGCTTCTCAAAAATTTCCTAGATATTACATTTCAACAAGAGATAAGTTCTGTAACATGAGTCATGTCCTAACAGTGAGCCTTCATTTCTTGCTTGCAATTTAAAAAATTGATCCAGTAAAATGTTGTGTTCTGAACTTCAGTAAGCCTTTTATTCCCACAAAGGTTTATCTGTTCGTGTTAGGAATAGGAGAGGGAGTTTTGGGGGCTCTTAAAAGCTATTAAATTGAACATAACGAAAAATTCTTAGCAAAATTTTCAGCAAAATGCCATGTTTCAGCAGTGACGCTCAAAAGCAGAATACTTAAATTTTTACAGCATAATTTATTCGACCCTAGCCCCTATCGAACGAAATCGACTTTCGTCCAGCTCTTTGTTAAGTTTCTTAAATATTTTTCGCATGCTTTATCTGAGAGGAAGTTCCACACTTGCTGGAGCCATTCTCCTATTGCCAATTGCGTTTCCCATGATGCTTCGTTTTGGCTTAATGAAAACAGTGTCATGAAATTGTACAACGAAGGACGCGTTTATATTCCCCTTTACTTGTTTCTAACGCGTGTCGCACAAAAATCACTCACTGCTCCACCGCACAAACACAAGGCTTTGTTCCGACTGGATTGTTTACATCATGTAGCCAATGAAGCATTTTGTTTTGATGAGCTATTATCCTCCTCATCAGTTAACACTGACATTTGTGTGATCAATGATTTATTGCATTTTACGCCCTCAAGCTAAAGGGAAAAACCTCCAGCTCTACACCAAAGTGAAAATGAAAATTGGATACCATTCTCACACACTTTTGTCAACTGGTGTTGGGTAGAGCCTGGAGAACGTTTGCTCTTTGAAATCATGGAAAATAACAAGTCGAATATGACATTGGTAAGCAAATCTTTTCGTCACAAATAGTATGTTAGAGCATGATATTTTGGTGCTATTTTTATCATTTCAAGATAGCGGATTGCATGCCACCGACGGTTATTCTGGTTCTTGTCGGCTTTAGACAGAGGTCACAGGAATATATATTGGCGTCTTGAAATGTACACATTCTCTAACAATAGTGAAAATTTACATGAAGCTTCATTAGGACTAGGTATTGACCATTCCTCGGGCTTCTATATATATATATATATATATATATATTTATGTATCTGTATCTATATATACATATATATATAGCCATAACAAACAATTTCTTCAAAACTTAAATTTATTTACAATCAGTTTCGAATGAATCCTAGCTCTAACGTTCATAGCAAAACCTTGGAAATGTTGAAAATCGTAGCGTGACATATTTTCCAGAGTATTTGGGACGTGTTTGGGTGACCCAAGCGAATCCGCCATAAAAAGGCTGAGATGTCAGGCACCCCTTCTCTGTAATCAACTCGCCTGGAGTGATGTATCACGTAATCCTCGACAAATCAGAGCGCGAGAAATAATGGCGATAGGAATGAGTGCAGTTAAATTCGTTTTGTAATCGAGAGTATGATCACAGACAGAATTGGACGACACACAGTCCTGTTACCAATTAATCATAACCATTACAATTTTCGAAAAAAAAAATACATCTAAAATAAATATCTCTGATAGAGACAGTGCTTTAAGTTAAAGATCTCTCCATTTTAGACATTTCCCAGTTTTTTCTTGGATAAGAAGTTGTTGTTATGGGTATTGTGATCAATTCTGTGATTGGTGGACTGAGTGGACTTAGTTTCAACTGTTGACTACTTCAACTGTGCGATTACAGGTGTCCGATTACAGCCAGCTGTCCAATTACACCGTTGGATTATAACTGTACAGAATGATTAGTGGAAAATAAAGCTGGTAATGCACCAATCACATTTGAGGAAATTGTATTGATTGTCATGATCGCTATAATCACCTGAGTAATTTTTAGAAGCTAAAAAAATTTGAATTTTATTTTGGTCTGAACGAAATGACTTATCCCGTGAGCATTTGAAGAACCAACGTAGATGACTCCTGTGTGCTCCTGAAAAATAAATGCTCGAGCTTAAAGAAAAAATAAAAGTCGATTGTCCTAGAAGTTTAGGCAGCAGCTAGTGCAATTGTTGAACCGAGAGATAACAATGGGCCGCATACACGAGAAACAGTGGAAGTGATTCCAATCCAAATAGACCGCAACCTGGGCCTACGAACGCATTTATCAGCGATGTTGTTAATACTGTTTTCGGAGAAATAATATTCCCAGTCGCCTTTTCCAGCCTTGACGGTAAATTCCATCCCTGATTGTGCGAAGATGAACAGAGCACTTCTCAGGTCGGCTCCATCTTGGTAAGAAATTGATGGCTGCTTTTAAAAATTTTATTTTTGTTCGGTCTTGTTCACTGAGACGTCTTCTATCTTCCACTTTTCTAACCTCAGCTCTCAGAACAGGAGATATGATTTTGTTAACAACTATTTTGGCATTTCTTGGATAATCCTGAAATCAGGAAGTAAGACGCAGTTTTTTTGTAATTTTTTTATTTTTTGGCATTCTACAAAACATTACTCTACTTACAATACACTACAGGACTCGGTTACAATACGTCACTTACAATAATTTATTGAGAACACACTACTAACAAAGTATAATTTACAATCAACTTGATTACAGTAGATGACTTACTTCAGATTACTTCCACTACCTATACAATACTCTACATTCACATTATTTTACGACATATTACACTACTTTCAATGTGTTACGGTAAATTACTTAAGTATCATACTAGTAGTATATAGCAAAATAGTATGCTTTACAATAAAGTTTGACTTCCTATGCTACTCTGCATTGTTTGAACGACACTCATCCCACAAACCAATATGTGGCAAAAGCTTATCCCATTTCTGAACATGACAGGACGGAAAAACGCGTGGACTGTAAGTACCTCCCGTTGTCCCATACAAAGCCTTAGAAAACTTTTCTAAGGCTTTGTATGGAACAACGGGAGGTACTTACAGTGCATGCATTATCCGTCCTGTCATGCTGTTTAGCTAATTTATTCTGCTTTGCTGCCATCTTCATTCCTACCTGGTATATTTTCCCGATCTTGGCCTTATAAACTCGTACGGAGGGATTCTTAGAATTCAATTTACACTTGTATATATAAAATTTAGCTGTCAGTATTAGATGATTTAGAATAATAAAGTCCTCTTCCGCATTGAAAACTCCAAAAAATATATCCATTATTGTAAATGTTTGAAAGTTAACTAGACATTCACCAAGCCAAGAACAGAAAGCTTCCCAGAAAGCCTTTGTAACATTGCAATAGAAAAATATATGTTCGAAGGATTCAACCTCTTGTTTACAAAAAGTACATAAAGGCGAATCCGACAATCCCTACCTAAACAATCTTTCGTTTGTAAGTACTATATTATTTAATACTCTATATTGGAATTCTCTAATTTCAGTTTCAATTGTGACGGTAAAAGGCAAGGAGTATTTTTTATTCCAGTCAAACTGAAACTGTGGAAATTTTTCCTTAAATTTTTTTTTGCGCAGTTGGAGGGATTTGCTTTTTGCTTTTAAACGCGTTATGAAGCGATATGGGTGTGACTTTTGCTAACATTACCTCAGAATCTCCCAACTTCAAATAAATTATGTCATCTGTATGAGAAAGGAGATGTTGAGCGCTTTGTCTAATAATACGCGTCCACGACGCTCATTAACTTAAAATGTTGTCAGTATCGGAGATAAATTTGTATGTAACACCTTAACACCCTTTAAGAAGATTCCAGTGTCAGAAATGAGATCACCGATCGTAACAATTTCTTTAGAAAGCAAGTGTCTTTCGAAAAGTGAGAGCTTTTGGACAGTAATATTTTTATCGTTCCATATAACCTGGTGAACTACATCTTCATATGAAAGTATGGAAGGTTGCCTTAACATGGACCAAGAGTCCAGGCACTCCTTATAAAAGGCCGGAAGGTAGATAGGTAACTGTCTGGTATCAAAATTACACTTAAGAACAAATTCTCCCCCTACCTGAGAAAGGAAGTAATTCAATGTTATTTTCCAAGAGCTGTTATTATCTTTATTCGTAAATCTTTTTAATACCATCACCCTCTGTGCGAGGATCATCGACTGAATATCCAACACATGCAAAATCGTTTCCACATATTTATTGTATCTTTGATAGACTTTAAAACTGCTTCAAAGTTCGCTTTCATCCTCGATGAGACGATATAGTCAAAAACGATCCCCAGAGTTTTAACTGAAGTTCGTACTTTATGAGCATAATTTCTTTGATCAAGACGATGGCTACCAATTGCAAAAATTTCAGTCTCATCTTTATTGACTTGGAGGTTGGAGAATCTAGAAAACGATTTCAGAGTCGCCACTAAACGGAGATATGACGTAGTATTTCTAAGGAAACGAGTCATGTCATCGGCAAAAAGGGTTAATTTGATTTCTTCCTCCTTAGCTGATCCATCACACGTTTATGTTTATTGCTACATTTTGTGACATTTTGTTAAACAGAAATGCTAGGCTATGATAAATTTTCGCTCTTTGTAATCTAAGAACCTACCAACACATTTTAACCAAACTTTTGGTGGACTCATCTGACTCGTGATTTAGAACTCCTGTAAGAGAGTCTCGATAGTAGTACCTTTATGACATTAAAATATTTAAATGTTGCCTCCATAACATAAAAAAATCCAATTTTAGGCGGTTGAACATCTCAACATTTTCGGGGGAATCACGTGGTTTTCGGAGGGAGTGGAGGGGGAGGGGGGAGGGGGGGAGGGTCTTCGCTGACAGAGGATAAAGGGAGGACCAAAAAAATTGACTGCTGATTAAGGGGGGATCATAAGATAACTACGGAACCTTAGTGGGGAGGGGGGGGATAGGGGGAATCAAGTAAATTGTATTGTGACACAAACAAAATCCGCCTTACTCCCTTCCCCCCCGGCAATAACAACGACGGTTCCCCAAAGATTAAAAATTCGCACATTTCATAAACCACATAAGAAAAAAATGGGTAGATTACACTTAAACCCATCCAGACCCTCGAATACATCTAAACGATGTGATTGTACTAACGACTTTATATAAAAATTGATGAGACGAAGTGATAAAAGCTCGATGCCATTGACTCTTCTCGTTTTAAGTGCACTTTTCATGCTAAAATCGTTTATTACTCTCAAAACATAGATTCATAAAAATTGCATAATGGTTTCTAGCAAATATTCTGCATCGTTTTCTCTTTGAGGCAAATGAATGAACTTGTTTTAGACGAGTCTCCTAAAAGATATCACATTTTCATTCATTTGTTTAGGATTATCCTAAATAAAAAGTGAGGTGTGGTCTAAGGGTTGATATGAGCTACGAAAGAATTTAAGGTTTTTTAGTTGAAAAGGGAATTACAGTAAACCTATCATTTGTTTTGTAAGTCGTATTTTCCTGTCAAGGTCAATGGCTACTGTTCTTTTGACAAGCCAAAAGTTATAGTGTAGAAAATGAAAAACTAAAACGATCCGCCATATTGGATAACATCTACGGCCCCTGGTAGCGTCGTTTGCATATCTGTCCAATAATATTAACATCATAGCCGTAGACGACATAACAAGCTATCTATATAAGGTAAAAACCTTTCAAAATACCGCAACGTAACGCTGAAGGAGAGAAGGGTTCCAACCACCCCTCCCCTATAGAAAAAGTTGGGGCGTGAGTTAATTTTTATGTACGTCCAAGGGTTACAGTTATTCATCTGCAGAATGTTATCGCTAATCGTTATGGACTACTCTTTTTTTTATCATATATATGTATTCTCATTTTTCTGTTCTATTTAAATGTTACTACCTTTGAAAGAAAGTGGTACCAATGCTGGGTAATTGGAATTCAGTTGAATTTGATAATTACAAAAGGAATTTGAGCACTCTAAAATCTTATTGAAGGGCTTTTTACTTACCCTTGACGTAAAAAAATTAGTTTTACCCTGATGAAAATTGAGGTGCAAAGGAAATCAGTTATTGGAAGAGGGGAGTATGTCATAAACATTACTGTATTAATGAGTTTTAGTAACATTCCATCAGATAGGGTCACTCTAGAAAACCCCCGGTAAGGCTCCGATGGACCTTGTACCGAGGGATAACAGTGTTTCACCAAAACGGCAAACAGCAGATGAGACTTTGTCCCAAAAGAACCTCAACCAGGGCTTGCGAACGCATTTACCAGTAATCTGGTTAGAATTTCCCTCGGAGAAATAATACTCCCAGTCACCTCTTCCAGCCTTAACGACAAACTCGCTCCCTGCCTTAGCGAAGAGAAACACAGCATTTTTGAGATCGGCTCCATCATCCAGCGCCATTGGCAGGAAATGAATGGCAGCTTTTAAGAACTTTATGGTAGTTTCATCGTGGCTATCGGGATAACTTTTATCTTCTATTTTTCTGACCTCAACTCCAAGAGCAAGGGCTGTGATTTTGTACACAGTAACTCTGTAACTTCTTGAAAAATCCTGAAATCAGATACCCAAGACTCAAGTGAATGTGAGAATTAACCTTGGGAATATATCGTATAGGTACAAAGCTTCTATCAGAAAATGCAAGTTTTATTCCTTCGTTTTAAAATTAGCTAGTTGTTGTTGTTGTTTTTTGGTATTTTCGAAGTCCTATAAACAAGTTCCGAAGTTTGCATTGGCGAGAGTAACACTGTCTGGAAAATCTTAACTTGTGTATCACTGAATCGGTCGTTTCGCTTGTATTCGGATGTATCCTGAGTGTAACCAAATTATGAGAGAATTATAAACAACAGCATTGAAAATACAGGTATGGACTCTCGCTATGTAGAAATTCAGCCTGTGAACTTCCATAATTTCGTAGAAGTGGAAATAGTAAGCTTAAGTAATTGTTAAATTAAATTGAGCCTTTTTATCAAGTGCTTGTTATAACTCTTTTTTCTGTGTCGTTTATGTACAAAAAAGGTGGCTCGCCGGTTGATTGATTCAGATTTATTCTCCTTCCGATTGCTTTACGCCTTACAGAAGCTTATGTCTTCGGTGGTAACCGTAGCAAAAAAAAAAAACGCAGCTCGCTAAAATGAAGGACTTTGCACTGCAGACCCTTAGAGCCCCACTCTACGTTAATTTTTTCCCAACGGTTCAGCAGTTTCTGTAATTGACGATCACTATATCATTTTAGTGTCTAACTTGCCTCTACTTTAATCACACTTTGATTCCTAAATCGAAATGAAACGGTAAATACAGATATTAAATTCCGGCTGGTGTTTGATCAATAATGACGAGATTATTTTGGGCTTATTGTTAGAGCATCGTGCATGATGCCGGCATATCGACTAAACTTCTCCAAATTTCTCTTGATATTACAGTGAGTAATGTCCGAACAGTAAGCCCTCTTTTCTTACTTCCAATTTAAGAATTTGATCTGGCAAAATATTGTGTTCTGACTTCAGTAAGCCTTTTATTCCCAGAGAGGTTTACCTGTTTGCGGTAGGAAGAGGAGATGGAGTTTTGGAGGCTCTTAAAAGCTAATAAACTGAACGTAATGAAAGATTCTGAGCATAGTTTTCGGCAAAATGCCATGTTTTCAGCGGTGACGCTCGAAAGCATAATGCTTAAATTTTCCAGCATAATTTATTTGACCCTAGCCCCTATCGAAGTAAATTGACTTTCGTCTGACTATTTGTTAAGTTTCTTAAATTTGTTTAGCATGCTCTATCTGAAAGGAAGTTCCATACTTACAGGATACATTCTTCTATTGCTCGTTACGTTTCCCATGATGCGACGTTTTGGCTTAATGAAAACAGTGTCTTGAAATTGTGGGACGAAAGATGTGTTTATATTCCCCTTTCCTTGTTTCAAACGCGTTTCGCACAAAAACTATTCACAGCTGCAGCGCACAAATAAAAAGGCTTTGCACAGTGTGTAAACCTGGGCTGTCGACTATCCTTCTCGGATTCCATGGGTTTTACCCCCGGCACTGTTCCGACTAGTTTGTTTACATCTTATAGCCAATGAAACATCTTGTTAGCCTTTCTTTCGCTTTTGAATTCTATAGGTTTTTCCTCTAGCTTTCTTCCGACTGGATTGTTTACATCATGCAGCCAATGAAGCCTTTTGTTTTGATGGCTATCCCTCTATCTGGCGCTATCCATCTAAAGGGAAAAACCCCCAGCTCTACACGAAAGTGAAAGTGAAAATTGGATACGCTTCTCACACACTTTTATCGACCCTCTATCTCTCCCTATCCATCTAAAGGGAAAAAACCCCAGCTCTACACGAAAGTGAAAGTGAAAATTGGATACGCTTCTCACACACTTTTATCGACCCTCTATCTCTCCCTATCCATCTAAAGGGAAAAAACCCCAGCTCTACACGAAAGTGAAAGTGAAAATTGGATACGCTTCTCACAAACTTTTATCGACCCTCTATCTCTCGCTATCCATCTAAAGGGAAAAAACCCCAGCTCTACACGAAAGTGAAAGTGAAAATTGGATACGCTTCTCACACACTTTTATCGACTGCTGTTGGGTAGTGCCTTGAGAACGTTCGCCCTTTGAAATCATGGGAAATAACAAGTCGAGAATGACATCGGTAAGCAAATTTTTACGTCGCAAATAGTATTTCAGAGCATGATATTTTGGTGCTATTTTGATCATTTCAAGATAGCAGATTGCATGCCACCGACGGTTATTTTGGTTCTTGTCGGCTTTAGACAGAGGTCACAGCAATTTATTTGCGCCTTGGAATTTATACATTCTCTGACAATGGTGAAAATTTTCAGAAAGCTTTATGTGATCCATGAGAACTAGGGATTGACAATTCCTCGGGTCCCTATAAATATCTAGCCACAACAAACGATTTTTGCAAAACTTAAACTTATGACAGTCAGTTCCGAATGAATCTAAGCTCTAATGTTTACAGCCAAACCTTAGAGATGATGGAAATCCTAGCGTGACATATTTTCTTCAGTGTTTGGGTCGCGGTTGAGTGATCCAAGCGAATCCACTATAAAATGTCTAAGACGAAGACCAGAAAAAGGTTTAAAACGCATCAAGTCCATCCTTCTCCAGTTTCCTTTTTGGAGAGTATGAAACTTCTTTGCACTACATTGCTGTCTCCGTTCCCCCTTGCCAGTTCGTGAACAAAAAGTTCTGTCCGTTTTGAGAAAACTGAGAATTCCAGCTTGTTCTTTAGTTCATTTTGTGGCACACACGAGTGCACGAATAAATGTTTACGAATAAAATAGTTCTGACAAAAACCCTTCAACCTGACATTGGAATCTGATTGATTTAAGAGCGCTTGTCTGTAAAAATCAGACAAATCCTAAATTTCGTGGCGAGGGTGAAAAATTAGATTTCTTTCTTATTTTAATATTAGACAGGCAAGACTATAACTAAAATCACTGGATACTTTTTTTGGCAAAATATCTTTATTTCAGAGAAAAATACAAATAACAAAATTCCGTTAAAATCGTCATTTTTAGCAGCAAATTATTGCACAAGTTTGAGGGCTTCGTGTTCAAAAATGAATCACAATCTCGTCTTTTTAACACTCAAATCTTCTTTTTTAACCTCATAAGACCTCACAAAACGATTTTTGTAAACACTGCGTTCCTCTTTGCGTGTAAAATAATTTAATTTCGAAAGCATACATTTCTCTTCAGTAAAAGTACTTTGTGAGTAAATTTCATTTTCGGCATGTGCTAAACCTTCAAATGGATTAAGCTTTGGGCGGTAGAATTACGAATAGATGTTCTCAATATTACTGTAAAAATTTCTTTGGGCAAGTGATTGAGAGCGATACGAAAGCTTTTCAAAGTCCGTTAAAATGCAGTTATTTGACCTTTCGCGGTCAACATTCCAGTCGCGAGTCACACACGTACTTTAATATGATTCAACCCATATGAGGCCGGAAAATGTACCTGAGTACACATTTCCAAATGCTCTAACCTCATTTGCGGTAGAAGAAAGATCCAAAGACCATTTTACTGTGATTATCTCGTCGCTCGTCGTATTTATAACGTCCGATGAAACTGCCTGTCAATCTGCGAACTGTCACCAACCTTCGTTGTAAAACGTTTGACATCTTTCTGTACTGTGGCATTTTATCCAGCGGTTCAGTTGACTGTGAGAGTTGTTCGGTTTGTGGTGCAGTAGATCTGATCGATGTTTTTAAAAGTGGCACTACACATATGTTGCAGTCAACGCAGTTTTGTATACGGAGAGTTGTCACGCAATGCAAATCATACAATGGAAAGTTATTTTTTAGGGGGTAGGGGAAGGGGAAAGTAAAAGGACGTCACTCTGCTGCTAAGCTTTCTTTAGTTGTTGTGAACATCGAAATCTCTCACATGTAAGTCGCGGAGATCGGGCCTTTGGCTGATACTCGTTGAAAAGCTAAATTTAGTACCTGCTAAAAGTAGTAAGCCTTAGTAAACAAAACCTGGTTTATGGTAATTACACGATGCCTATTATTCGCTTAGAGCGGGGCTTCGGACTCTGTTTGTAACAAATACACTAACTTACACGGCCAACTATGTTACATAAAATTGGAAGGTTGTTGTTCGTTCAAGTCGCTTATTGACGGAGTTTGTGATTACAACACTAGAGATCGAATGCGTGAAACGGAAATTGTTCCTTTACTTTCATGCACCAAGAATATCACAAGTCATGAGTCGGCTTTCAAATTTACCGGTCCTGAAGATGAGATCGACCTTATTTTGTGCCGAGCGCACATATGTCGGCCCCTCTGTAGTTTAAGGTTTTAAGCGGTAGTTGGGTCTGTTAACAGTGGTTAATAGTACCACTCCCTTATGCAAGCCCCATCCATTGGCCACGGAACTAACATAGCACCCCAGCCTCAAAAATGTTTAAAGAATAAAATATTTTGTAGGTTCCAAGAGTTCAATTCTGATAGTGCTAAATTATATGGAGTTTTGCCCTTCACCTACCCCCTAAAGTTCCTTTGTCATCGGTATTGCGTGACAATCCAAATACTTAAATGGCGTACATGTTTGTAGTCAACTCAGTTTAACATTGAATAAGACTGTCAGATGTAATCTTTTAGTGCATTGTAAACTGAGCAATACTCGCAGTCAACTGAACCGTTGAATAAGATGCCACAGTGAAGAAAGATATCGAACGTTTGACAACGAGATTGTGTTCGACAGGGTTGGTGGTTTCATCGGACGTTATCATTTATACAGACCTAAATACGACGAACGACAAGAAAATCGCTCTAAAATGGTCTCTGGATCGGTCTTCTGCGGCAAATGAGGTTAGAGCATTTGGAAATACCTTTCTATGTACATTTTTCGACCTCACATGGGTTGAAACATTAAAATATGTGTGACTCGCGACTGGAATGTTGACCGCAAAAGGTCAAATAACTGCATTTTAACGGACTTTGAAAAGCTTTTGTATCGCTCTCAATCACTTGCCCAAACAAATTTTTACAGTTTTATTGAGAACATCTTTTCGAAATTCAACCACCAAAAGCTTAATCCATTTGAAGGTTTAGCACATGGTGAAAATTAAATTTATTCACGAAGTATTTTTACTGAAGAGAAATGCATGCTTTCGAAATTAAATTATTTTAAGCGCAAAGAAGAGCGCAATGTTTACAAAAATCATTTTGTGAGGCCTCATGAGATCGGAAAAGAACATATGAGTGTTTAAAAGAGGAGGTAGTGATTCGTTTTTGCACGCGAAGCCCTCAAACTCGTGCAATAATTTGCTTCTAAAAATGACGATTTTAACGGAATTTCGTTATTTGTATTTTTCTCTGAAATAAAAAGATATTTTGCCAAAAAAAGTATCCAGTGATTTTAGTTATAGCCTAGCCTATCTAACATTAAAATAAGAAAGAAATCGAATTTTCCACCCTTGCCGCGATATGTTTGATTTTTACAGACAAGCGCTCTTAAATCGACTTATTTCGAAGAAATGTCAAAGTAAACTGTTCCAGAAAGTGTGATCGTAAAGCTGACAAAAAAATTGCGTGCAAATCATTTGAAATATAAGAGTAAATAAGGAAAGAAAAATCCGCAAATCCGGTAATTAGGAGGGTTGTTGCCTTTATTATCGGCAACTTCGCAAATACATTTCTTTGGTCTAAGATTTTAGTTTATCTTCCGATTTTACGTAAAAGAAAAATAGCAGAAAATTTCTCTTAAAGCTGGTGTCACATCAAGTTTCTACATACTAGTAATTCGCATTTTGTCTCAGCCGCAAAGTCCCCTTTGAGGCTTGAACTAGTAACACCTAAATGTTAGTTTTATTACGCCTGCAGATCATTTATAGATATTCTGGAAAAAACAAACAAATTAACAAATTAAGAAATGAACCAACTCCAGCCAAATTACTTAAGCAGTATCTTCGACTGACAATTACGAGGAAATCTTTTAACACACGCATATATTTAACAATTATTCGGCGAAGGCGAAGTGAACATTCTTGAATTAATGATATGCGCGTAGATCATAAGGTCAAGAAAGGGACTACAGACAATTTACATTCTCTTGGGTCAAGTTAATAACGCCACAAGCAAAAGCTGAATGAAAGCTGATAATTAGTACTAACTGTGTCTGCGTTCGTTTGCTTGAAAGCGTTAGGTACCTTCTCTGTAATCAACTCGTGTGGAGTGATATATGAAGTAATCCTCGACAACTCAGAGTGCGAGAAATAATGGCGATAGGAATGAGTGTAGTTTAATTCGTTCTGTAATCAGTTAGTTCTGTAATCACGAGTATGATTACAGACAGAATTGGACGACGCAGTCCTGTTACCAATTACTCATAACCATTACAACATTCGAAAAAACAAATGCATGTAGAAAAACTTGAAATACCTTTAGTGGAGACAATGTTTATAGTTAAAGATTCTTCCATTTTGAAGATTCCCCAGTTTTTCCTCGAATAAGAGGTTGTTGCTATTGTTATTGTGATCAATTCTGTGATTGGTGGATTTAGCTGAGTGGACTTCGTACGATTGGCTGCTTCGACTGTCCTATTACGGGTGTCCGATTATAGCCAACTGCATTTCTTAGGTCGGCTCCATCTTCCATCGCCGTTAGCAAGAAATTGATGGCAGCTTTTAAAAGTTTTATATTTGTTCGGTCGTGTTCATTGAGGCGTCCTCTATCTTCCACTTTTCAAACCTCAGCTCCCAGAACAGATGTGATTTCGTTAACAATTATTCTGACGTTTCTTGAATAATCCTGAAATCAGGAAGTAGGACCCAGTTGAAAATGAGTATTGATCATTGATTTATGTCGAATAGCAGCCATATAGCATTTTTAGCAACTGAATCCAGTGACAACTTGTAGCCAATGAAACATTTTGTTTAATTAAGCCATTCTCGTGCTTTAGATTTTCAAGGGTTTTCCCGTGCATTGTTCCAACGTAATTTGGATCTCTTATTTTCAAATTCCGAGAGTTTGCACTATGTGTGCGACCTTTGTACTCAGTTCTCCTATTTCCAAGGGTTTTTTTCCCTTGTTTTTTTTCGTTTGTATTTTTTACATTTCTTAGTCAATGAAAAATGTTGTTTTCATGACCAATTATTCATCGCCACCAGGCAACCCTGACATCTGTTTGATCAAGGATTATATTTCGCGCATTTAAGTAGAGGGAAAAAGCCCTCAAAAGTGAAACACTTCAAACAAGTGAAAGTGAAAATGAAAAGGGAAACCTCCTTCAAACAGCTATATCAACTCGACAGAACTGAGAAATTACCTTGAGAACGTTCGCTCCCTGGTTCAACCATTCATACACACAAACCATGGGAAATAACAAGTCGAGGATGACATCGGTAAGGAAATTTTTACCTAGAGAAAGATGTTTTTCGTCTTGTCACGAGCGTGGGACAAAGAAAAAATTCTGAGTCCCATGAGGAATCGAACCTCAGACCTTCGGATTCCGCGCTCCGATGCTCTACCAGTGAGCCACAGAGACTCCACGGTGAGCGAGGTCTATTACGAAGTTCGTATGACACGCTTCCTGCATACTGCTAGGATCAACGACGTCGATAGCGTAATGTTTGTAGATAGAAGTTAGAGAAATGGTAAGTTTTGAGCTCAGTAAAGAAATAGAGAAAGATGTTTTCCGTCTTGTCACGAGCGTGGGACGAAGAAAAAATTTTGAGTCTTTTCGAAATAGTATGTCAAAGCATGAAATTTGGTCCTGATTTGAAAATTTTTTGATTGATTACAAGCAGGCAACGGTTTTCTCTTGGCTCTCGGGGGCTTTAGACAGAGGTCACATAAGTTCATTTGCGCCATGCGTTTTGTATATTCGAGAAACCTTTCGCCAGAGATTGAAAATTTCTTGAGCTCCTATATATCTAACCATAGAAAACGATTTTTTCAAAATTAAACGTATTTAACGTAAACATATTTAGGTCCATTCAGTCATAGTCGAACCTTGAAAATGACGGAAATAGAAGCTTGACATATTTTCTTCAGTATTTGCGCAAACTGTCAACTTGATAGCGAAGAAGCGTATGATCGAAAGAAGATTGAGAAAAACGTGAAATATCTCGTAATTGCTAATGAGTTGTTATGACAATTTTTAAAGATGGAGATGGAAAAATCAATCAGTTGTGATTGCGAAGGTGTTGGCAATGCGCCGCTCATTCTGAAGGCACAATCAGACGACTGTTTGAAGCTAGTCACCCCACTGAGATGATTGCAGCCATGCCAATTTGACTTATCATCTCCAAATGATGAGTAGAGGAAGCGAACTGCCTAAAATCTATCCTCCTAGCATAGTTTTTGGCTGAAAATTGCCAATTTTTTTAAATTTCAAGAGCTTGATAACGGGTGTGGAAAATGATGTTTTGAAATACGTATTATATCTCTGAATTTTGTCATTGATATTTACAGCAGACTCGGGTTCGGGGGGGTTCGGGGAGGTATTCCTCGGATATCGAGGTAAGGTTAAGCCGCCCAATTCTTAAATACTGACCCTCAGGATGATGATGATGATGATGATTATGATAGCGATATAATGCTTCCTTTTGGATCACATACAATAACATTCCACTTATTTTGCTTTTAAGGATTACCCAAGTGACATGATCTTCTACGTTAAAAAGATTTCGTCGACGTTCCTTGGAAAAGAGATTACCAAACGATGTGGAAACGAAGGACAGCATAATGATCTCGAGGAAAAGGATAAGATAACCTTGAAATTTTTGCAAGCTGCCATCTCGTACATCTCAGAGGCAACCAACATGGGAGCAGATCTTTCAAATGCGGCATTCATTTTTTCACAACCAGGAAGAGAGTTTGTCATTCAGGCTGGAAATGGCGACTGGGAGTTCTTTTTTTCAGAAGATCTAAAAAATACAGTTCATGGCCACTGTGTTCGTAAGGGTCCGAAGCAGGCTTCCCGAGGTTTCTGCAACAGCAGCAGATCCCCTGACAGCACATCTGGCCCTGCCAATCGAAACGGTAGACCCAGAACAGCACCAGGTCGAATGAATGGTTTGCTGGCTTTGCCATCTGCCGCCTAGAAAGATGTCTGCCTTGCTATATTTCGACGGAGGAAAAGATGAAAATCGATAATTACGCAAATTTTTTTACTAGCTTGATAATATGGGTGACAAATAACTCCATAATCTATCAGACAATTTGAGTTTGTTACGTGGCAAGATTCCTTAAATTCTATACCGCTGTCAAAAACATATCCATAGCCTTTGGCTGGTAATCTTTGGCCTTTCCCATGAGAGGTGTATTCATTTTATTCACAACTAATGCCCTGCCAAGTTAATAAAATTTGATAGTAGACTTAAACTTAAGATATTTGATAGAGAAGAAACAGCTAGGTCAATAAATAGCTTTTTATCGATAAATCAAGAAGTCTTAAACTTTTTTTAAACGTGTATCTATCTTTTCGATTCGGGGAGTACTCTGACTCTTTTTAAAAGATGATAAACAATTTCCAATCCAAAACCTTACGACCAGAAGTCTTACTCGTCACCTGTGATATTGACATGTAACCCAGTAATATGCTTTTTAAATTTGGGAATAGTTTGACGTGGGTGCGTCCAAATTTGTAAAACTTCTCTCGCCGTAATGTGTGAATTTGCACCTAACACTCCACCACCGTTTAATTAATATGTGCACGTTTTTTTAACTGAATCTCCAGCTATCACAGTAACTTTGCATTTATTGATATATCAAAATTAAAATCAAAGACACAAAGTCAAAAGAACAGAATTGGTAACAAAGGCTGGGAAATCTACTGAAACAATTTTTTGTTTGGGATTCCTCGGTACTTCAGTGTTTCCCTTAACCTTTCACTCCCAAGATCTCATTAGTAATTCTCCTTACTGTCTGCAATACAACTCTTATGATGTTAGCTCTGAGAATTTGGTATCGTATCAACTAATAATCCCCTAGCTGATATATAGAGAATAATACATGGGCGCGCGTAGATATGGAATTTCTCTTCGAATGTGTAACTCGATAGCTCACGAGAGAGCGCAGCGAACGAGTGAGATGTCAAGTTGAACACGAGAAGAAAAATTCCATATCTGCAAGCAACCGTGTATTATTTTGTTTATCATATAAACACATTAGCCCTTTACTGGGAAGAAAAGCCGACTTCATTAATGAATGAAAATAAATGAATCGACAATCCTCGAAAACAAACGTAGAGTGCGTTGGCGCTGACTCTTAAGATGGAAAAATGCGTTCAATCATGATTACAAAAATAACAATGGTTGTAATTTTCAATTTACAAAATTCTCATTTATTGACTTTGTCCTTACCGACAGAAGTCTTTCAGGTAAACGTCCAAAATCGGCTTGTGGCAAATCTTCCAGTTGTCGATTTTCATTATCAGGCGAGAGAAATGCTAACACCAAAGCCACTGAATACGCAACTTTCAGTTTTTCTTTTAGTATATTGGTTTTCTTCCCCTTCTAGGCAAGTTTGAATCTCATTGTCTCTCAGCGATACGGATTTTTTAGTGTTTTGGCCGCCATAATTCGAGAAAGCTCCGACAAACAACTTGTATGGAGAATCGTGAAGGCTTTGCCGTTCATTCATCAACCTGACCGAGTGACGCCAAAGGCGAGTGAAGTGTAAGCAGCTGATTGGCTACATCAACACACGTGAAAAAATACGATATTTTTTCACGTGTGTTGTTACGGCTTTTCTCAGAGCCGGAAATCCTTGTATAACACCGCGGTTAATATAATAATTTTTTTTTTATCACTTGCCTGTTTGATATTGTATTGATATTGTAAAGAGAAATTCCGTCTTGGTCACTCATGAGAGTTAAAGGGTTAAGTAAAAAAAATATAAGAACCATGCAGGGATTTTCTATACATTTCTTGCAATGAATAGTCAAATAAATTAGCGTAAACAATGTAAAAATATGTTTACATCTCTTCTTTTTGCTTCAAAACTTTCTTCATTTTTATTTCGACTTCGGCAACATTCTCGTAGTTGGGCGTTTGAGTAACTCCGTTAGTTGTCCATTGTTTGCCCTTTTTTAAAGATGCAAGAACGGGGAAAACTAGCTTCTGAGGAGACTCACACTAACAGGAGACACCAAGACTCTTAGTTCTCTTCTTCTTTATTACATTTTCTATTTCTAACCAAACTGTCTCTTTCTCTTTTATTCACTGTAGTGCACGCTCTTGTTACACAATTATGTATCACATGCTTCGTTGCACTTACATGTATTACCATATTATTGCACAGACCTTTGTATACTTTACACCTTTGCACACCTTGTACATATTTAGTGATTGCAATGCATTAAACATTCAGTTTTCCTTTTTTTCCTCCTCCCTCGCAGCATTAATTTAGATAGCTTAACGATTTAAGTATACTGGCAAGCATGGCTTTAAAAACTCCTTTTCCAGATTTTAAAACAACGGGAGATGACAGATACGACATTTAGGAATACATTGAAGATCTGACGGACTACTGCACCATGCGAAACTGGTTCGATCCGTCGAAGGAGACAGAGGCTGCAAAATGGACGAAACCAGAGAAAGCGATGGCATCTTTTCGGGCGTCATTATCCCCTGCGAACAGAGCGGTCTACAAATACAGTTTAGGGCTTTCAGCAGAAGATCTGGCGAAACCTCACTTGCTTATTAATGCCCTCAGAGAATATTATGGCGCACACATTGGGGTGTCCGGTGAAAGACAGAAGTTTCCTCACCTGATGCAAAATGAAGACGAATCGATCAGTTCTTGGGAAACGCGTATACGACCTCAAGCTTCATAGAGCGAATATGAGAATTTCGCTGACGAATTTATGCGAGACCAGTTTATCGCCGGCTTAACGTCTGAAACCCTGCGTGTAAAACTAATCGGTAAGGGCCACAGACACCGAGATGCCGCACAGACCAAGGTCAAGTTGCGGGAAGTTGTTGAAATTGCGAAAAGCTTTGAGGCGACTACTTTTGCGAATTAGTTAATGAGAACCGAACAAAGCACCTAGCAGGAGCAATTAAATTTCACAAACAAATCCACGCGTGAGAATCAAACTTCTGCTCCACCGACGCCACTGTGTTTTTGGTGTCGCGGCAGCCATCCCAGTCCTCGTCAACATCATTGCCCTGCGTTTGGCAAGAGATGCAATAAGTGTGGAATCGTTGGTCATTTCGCTCGTGCATGTAAAGGAGGAACAAGAAAGCAAGCAGGCAACAGGCAACAGTCAAATTTCGAAAATTGTGAGAGCACAAATCGACTCAGCTTCAACTTGAAATGCCATACCCAGCAATTTATTAAGCCAGTTATTCCCTAATTTGAAGGTTTCAAAGACCAGAAGCAGAAACAGCACATATGGAAGCCAAATAATGCGACCAAAAGGTAAGTAACCCTAGTTTGCGACAGAAAAGGCAGACCAGAGACAAGAGATTTTCTTGTGGTGGATGTCCCTAGCGACAAACCACCACTTCTTAGCGGAAAGGATGCGCAGGCTCTAGAGTATTTGAAGATTTATGCAGACGAAACAAACGCAGTTGAGGACGAGATTCCGCAAACTCCGCAAACACTTCCCCCACTCGGAATGCTAACGGCGGAGGAAATTTTGCGGCAGTATGCTTATGTGTTTAGACCGTGGCGCGGGAAATCCCTTGGGACGCCATGCATATTCAGCTGGACCCTCTGTTACACCTGTACATGCCCCAACACGCCGAGTGCCCGTGGCAAACTTAGACCGGGTAAATGAAGAGCTGAAAAGGTTTTCTGAAGAAGGCATTATTAGGCCAGTTACCCAAACCACAGATTGGCTGTCTAATATGCTGGTTAAAGAAAAACCAAACGGCAAACTTCGCATCCGTATCAACCCAAGCCAGACCATAAACAAGGCAATTAAAAGACCCAAGTACACGATACCGACCATCGAAGAGAAGCTTCCTATACTAACAAAAGCCAAAGTCTTCAAATACCAGTTCACTGTTCGATATAAGAAAGGGAAAGAGCTTTTTAAAGCAGACACACTGTCTCGCTCAGCCATCAGTGTTCATGATGACACAACCCCGACAGTAATGCAAAAGTGCAAAGTGTTTCGTGTAGAACTGGCACAAGTGGACCTGGGGGCAAATAGAGTAACCGTTGAAACAATGAACTAGATCAAAGAGGAGATTTCAAAAGATCCTGTTCTAGCAGTATTGCATAAAGTGGTGCTAACTGGATGACCTTCAGAAAGGAAGGAAGTGCCCGAGCAAATCAGAGTTTACTGGGACTCAAGAGACGAGATCACAGTGTATGACGGAATCCTTTACAAGTCTCATCAAGTTATTGTACCCACATCCTTGCGATCTGAAATGTTAAGGAAGATACACAAAGCTCACCAAGGCGCAGATAGCAGTATACGACGAGCACGCGAATCCGTGTACCGGCCAGGTATGTAGGCAGCAATCAGGTAGACATGTTCATCTTGCGGAGTTTGTGCCCAGTACTTGGGCGAGCGAGCTCGAGTACCCATGTGGTCACACGACATACCTTTTTGGCCTTCTTCAAAAGTGAGTGCAAACCTATTTCAACTAAATGGCAGCAATTACATCGTCTTGGTGGACCCCTACAGTGACTAATTTAAGCTCGAACCTTTGCAAAACACATTCGGTAACACGGTCATAAGAGCCATGAAAAGAAATTTTGCCCGATACGGAATTCCAGAGGAATTCAGGACTGATAACGACCCACAGTTTGTTAGCCATGAGTACTCGCGTTTCGCTCGCGAGTACGGGTTACCAGTACAAAATCGTCACCCTACCACAGCCAAGGAAATGGAAATGCAGAATCGGCAGTTAAGATTGTCAAGATTATCTTGAAGAAATCACGTAAGGAGGACCCGTACTTAGCTCTCTTGGCGTACCGAAACACACCCCAACATGGATACAACTATTCTCCTGCTGAGCGCTTGATGTCTCGAAAACTTCCGGGCATCATCCCTACAGTTACTTATCAGCACGTCCCAAAACTAGCATGTCCCAGATAGGTCAAAGGTGCAGTACGACAAGAAGGCACTAACCCAGCTTAGAAAGTTCACAGAAGGGGAAAAAGTGTACCTAAAACTCTGCCCCACAAACAGGTCTCAACCATGGATCCATGGGGAGGTAGAAGAAAAGCCCGCACCAAGGTCCTGCGTGGTCGAAACAGCAATGGGACCAGTTCGCCGGAATTATTGCCAAATCAGGAGAGCGAAAGCAGAGCCAGCTGATGGATACAGCGCAGTGATGGACCAGCTTGAAATCGCATCTACGCACTCAGAGCAAGAACAGGAGAGACAACCGCCAAACGCTGACTCAACAGGAGAAACAATGTCCAGCACACCCGGAATCGAATCAGAAGACACGTTACCTGCAAAG